CAAGACTTATTAATAACACCAGCCGTGACTCTCCTTTAGTGGTAAAACAAATCTCTCAGGAACATTCAAGACCCTCTACAATGTGATGTCAAACTATTCTTCAAAAACATTTAATAGTGTTACCAAAATTACATATGCTGGGATCAGCTTTGTGATGCGATGAGCTAAGCTGCCACTCACAACACAGTGTGTTGGTTAAGCCCATATGGGATGCTGCCACTGCCGGTGGTGGCTTTACCCACTATGCCACAGTGCTGGCCCCCTCTAACTTCTTTCTGATTTCCTAACTCAGTTACTAAAGGTAATTACCTCATTACTCTACCAATATTCTTTACCAATATTACTTCTGGGTTTATTAACATTGACAACATTGACAATATCGTCTAACTTCCTGATGTGATAAACATTTCGGTACTTGGGCCATTTACATCTGTCCTTACACTATATGAAAAGTCTTCAAAAAGTCCACGGGAAATGCATACTGTCGAAAAGCTGCAGGGATTTCAAAAAAATGTTTGAAGCAAAATAAAGTCATCTTTTAATTACAGTTCCAAAGAACTTTTGGGAAGTACCTGATTTTCATGCCATTTTTCAGTGCTTCTGCTGGCAGTCAGTATTCCTTTGAAGAACAGACTCACACCTGTTGCTTGTTTCAGCAACCATCAACACCCCTTCCCAGCTGGGCCTCTGCCCGTTCCCTCATCTCCGCCTTCCCAGGACCACCACCTCGGTCCAACTGCCCCTGGCCCGTCTTCTGCCCCCACTGTGCTCCCCCCCATACTTTAAGTTTGCATTTTCAAATTCTGTTCCCCCGGGGTCCTCGGTGACAAGGTAACTCAAGTCCCTGCTCACACACAGATAATTCCCAGGAAATTATTAGTTGCTCTGTTAACCCAACTACCAACCCATCACCACGTTACACTGTTTCATTTGCACCTGTATGTATGTGTGGCGTGTTGCCCAGCGAGGCTCCGAGGTCCCTGTCTTGGCATCTCAGAGTTCGCATGCATACAAGGCGATCACCTGCCAGCTGTGTTTACGAATTCATGAAACTACTCACGCTCCTTATTATAAACCCCAGAAGGCTGAGATTCAACTTCGTAGTTTCCCGGGCTGGAATGCCACACAGGCCCGGGTCACAACCAAACAGAACCACCAGAGGCGGCATAGTTCTAAATCAACACACACACACACACACACACACACACACACACACACACGGGCGGACACTCCATCAGAGTGAGCCGCAGAACCGGGTCCCAAGTGAGGCGCAGGGCTGCTTCGCCGGCCCACGAGCAGCAGAGAGAAGCATTCCTTTTAGAGGGCCCCTGACGAGCTCCCCTGACTTAATTTCGCCGAGAAAGGCGCCCAAGTTAGGGATTCCTGGATGAAGTTCTGGGAGCTCCAAGGACTGAGGCCCACCAGGGGCGAAGCAGGGGCCAGCCTGAGCTCGGAGCCCCGCGGCCCGGCCCCGGCCCCCGCCCCGGGTGTGTGCGGGGGCGCAGGTGAAGTCGCCGACACCTGTCTCTCCCCATCAGGTGGCCATGCGGGAGCCGGGACCGTCGGGAAAGAGCGGGGTTCTGAGCCGGAGGGGCCTGGGAGCGGGGCGCCGGGCCGGGCCCCCGGCGTCGCCCAGGAGAGGGGTGAGAAGGGTCGCGGGCCCGCGGCGGTTGCGGGACAGCACCTACCAGGGTGCCATTTCAGGGCCAGCTTCCGATAGGCCTTCTTGAGCTCCTCCTCGCTGGCGTCGCGCCGCACCCCCAGCGCCTCGTAGTGACACTTCATCGCCGGGCCAGGCGGGGAGCCGGGGCCGAGACCCGGGCCCGGGCAGGGGCAGCGGCGGCGCTGACGGGCCTCTCCTCCGGCGGCAGCCCGGCGCCCGCACCGGGCCAGCCAGCGAGCACGGCGGCGGCGGCGGCGTGGGACGGCGGAGACGCGCGGCGCTGGCGGGCGACGCGGGCTGCGGCACGCGGGCGCGCGGAGGGGGCGGTGCCGGCGGCGGCGGCTCCGCATGGGAGGCGGGGCGGATCTGCTCCCGGAAGGGCCGCGCGCGAGGGAGGCGGGGCAGCGGCGGGGTGGGGGCGGAGCCTCGCGGGAGGGAGGCGGGGCCGTCAGGTGTCATTGTGAGGGCCACAGATGGCTATCAGATTGAGTGGCGTCTACTTGGCCGCTGATCTGAAAGCTGATGGGACGGAATAGGGTTGCTATGAGAGGTTCTGGTAAATATCTTGTAGGGCTCTGACTATATTATAAGTTATAAATGTTCACCTTTTGTTTGAAAAGGATACAGAGAACTTCCATCCCTGGTTATTTCCCCGAATGTTAGCAACATCCAGGGCTGGGCCTGGCCAAACCCACAAGTGGGGATGTCAATCCGGATCTCCCACGTGCATGCAGGAACCCAACTGCTTGAGCTATCACCTGCTACCCCTAGGGTACACATGGGTAGAAGCTGGAATCTGGAGCGGAGCCAGGACTCGAACCTGGGCATTCTGACACAGGACAGACTCCCAGACTTCCCAAGAGGCATCTTCACCACTGAGCCAGCAACTCAAGTAGTCCTGTGGCTGGCCTGACCCTCCTCAGCTGACAGTGGCAGTACTTGGCTGGACTGAACCCAATTTTTAATCTCTTTCCTTAATCTCTTTCCAACTCTTCAGCTGCCACTTAGTACTCTGATCTACATGGAAAATTACAGTAAGATAAACATTTCTTCAAGTAACATACCAAAAGCTTTATTATTGTCAAGGATAAAATGTTGAGTATTCATCCATCCAGTCCTCTTTAAATGTATTTCTGGTCAATAATCCTACCTTTCCATAATTGGCTTGGACTGAGAAAGTGGCTATGGAATAGTATTTAACCAGTAGCTTCTGGCTGATCTACATGTATTACATTGTATTACAGTACGGAGGATCTGTACAACTGCTGCAATTTGATAAGGTGTCATATCCCACTGTCCTTAAATTGCATCCACACACCAATACATTCCCCTGTAATGTGGAGTATTCACACACACTACCTGTGAGTTTCCTGTATCAACTACATATGGGTAAGGACAGAAGGGTTAGTGGTGTTTCTGACACCTGTTGAAATGAACAATCTGTTTATCCCTTATTCCCTAGTATCAAAACCAACCCTAAGCCTTACCAGGTTTCTCCACACAGCAATGTCACCAGTCACCATTCAAAACTTTTATTTTCCACAGCCTCAACCTTTTGGCATTGGCACTGGACATGGACTGAGAAGTCTGAGCTTGAGGGGAAATGGGAACTTTATGCTCTCAAGAACAGAATCTATCTTTGGAGCCGGCGCCGTGGCTCACTAGGCTAATCCTCCACCTTGCGGCGCCGGCACACCGGGTTCTAGTCCCGGTTGGGGCGCCAGATTCTGTCCCGGTTGCCCCTCTTCCAGGCCAGCTCTCTGCTATGGCCAGGGAGTGCAGTGGAGGATGGCCCAGGTGCTTGGGCCCTGCACCCCATGGGAGACCAGGAAAAGCACCTGGATCCTGGCTCCTGCCATCGGATCAGCGCGATGCGCCGGCTGCAGCGGCGGCCATTGGAGGGTGAACCAACGGCAAAGGAAGACCTTTCTCTCTCTCTCTCTCTCACTGTCCACTCTGCCTGTCAAAAATTTAAAAAAAAAATCTATCTTTGCCTGTAACTTTGTAGATATGCATGGGTGTTCAAAAACAAACATTGACTATGACTTAGTTTCATCCAAGGCTACATAATGGCCATTATTTTTTGCTTTCAACCAGATTTGGCCTTAATTAGCCATAAATATTTTGAAAATCTAACCTGAATTACTTGCACAATTTAGAAGACTTTGAAGATTTCAGGTAGCCTACTTAAACCCAGGAATGCTGACAAAATTAAAAAAAAAAAACCATGTAAGATTGATGACAGTTCTGCCCACATGAAAGATTTAAAATATGAAATTAAAATGTGGGGCCAGTGCTATGGCATAATGGTTCCAGTCTCAGCTGCTCCACTTCTGATCCACCTGTCTGCTGTGGCCTGGGAAAGCAGAAGATGGCCCAAATCTTTGGGCCCCTGCACTCGCGTGGGAGACACAGAAGCTCCTGGTTTCAGATTGACACAGCTCCAGCCACTGCGGCCATTTAGGAAGTGAACCAGTGGATGGAAGACCCCTCTCTCTCTGCCTCTCCTCTCTGTGTAACTCTTTCAAATAAATAAATAAATCGTTTAAAAAAATTTAAATATAACTTAAAGAAGATGTCTAGAAAAACCTTACTATGGGGGCTGGTGCTGTGGCTCAGCAGGTTAACGCCCTGGCCTAAGGTGCCGGCATCTCATATGGGCACCGGTTCTAGTCCCGGCTGATCCTATTCCAATCCACTTCTCTGCTATGGCCTGGAAAAGGAGAAGATGGCCCAAGCCCTTGGGCCCCTGCACCCTTGTGGGAGACCTGGAAGAAGCTCCTGGCTCCTGATTGGCGCAGCTCCAGCCGTTGAAACCAACTGGGGAGTGACCATCAGATGGAAGACCTCTCGCTCTCTGCCTCTCCTCTCTGTGTAACTCTTGACTTTCAAATAAGTAAATAAATCTTCAAAACACACACACACAATCACTCAAGAAAAACCAATACCTGACCAAAAATGATTTTTTTAAATCCAATGACAGATTATTTCACCACTGGCAAGGGTACAAGGAATTAACTCTAACTTCTGGTGAGGTACAATTTTTGGAGAATTAAGCAAAAATAATAGTGTTCAAAACATTTGACCCGAGTTCTACTTCTAGGAAACAAACTGTGTAGAAATGCTCACTGCAAACACCTAAGCCAGCCCATCCTTCCCACCCCCAAAAGAGATAAAAATGAAACCTCCAATAAGAAACTGATTACTTTGTTTTACAAGTAATTAGGACCCCAAAATAACAAAGCTGAATTCCAACTTTGCTAAACCAAAAGAGGACTAACCTTTGAGTATGCTTTTTTACTGACACACACACAAAAACTTTGAAAAGAAAAACAAATTAACTTATCAGTTCTGGTTTTATTTTATTTAGAAAAACATCATCAAGATTTAAAATTTTCCTTTATTCAATGTCACACTAAATAGACCTAAGAGAACCTAGAAAATAAAGTATTTACATATTCAGTATGGAATAAATACACGCTAACTGCAAATCTGGTCACCCGCGGATTCACTTTGCATTCCCTTTGTTCATCTTCTGTTTCATTTTCCTTTGCCTCTTGTAAATCCTTTTCTTTCTTGCTTTCAAATCAACTTTAGGTTCCGGTTTCTCCCACTGTATTTCTATGGGTTTCTCTTCAGCTGGAGTAACAAAAACATCTGCAGTGGGATCATGGGGAAGTACGGTCTTCGGCTCTTTCTTTCTCAGTTTCTGCACGTCCTTCACTTGCTGTTTCTCTCTGTACTTTGCAGCTGTCATGGATCTTACAATACGCCGATGCTAGAAAAAAATTACACATTTTAATAAGGCAAAGACATTCACTTATGAAAACTATTTCCCTTCACACAGTGTCATTAAAAAAAAAGTAGAAATTTTCAAGTTTATGCAGCAAACACCAAATTCAGTTTCATAGGTAAAAGAGAACATTAATTATTTCATAGAAATGTTCTGGTACAACAAAGACCATTAACAATGAAACAGCTTACCATGTTTGGAGACTGGTAGTGAGGATTTTCATATAAAGTTGGTCCTCCAAAACTCCCCTGGAAAATCTTTATAAGATTTAAGACAAAACGAGGTCCTATTTCTACAAGAGCAGCATCTTCTTCTATGATCTTTAATAAAAAGGGAAACATTTCATTTTGGTTTGAATATACTATCCTAGAAGATATACTGCCTATAACCTCATTATAAGTGTGCCTAAATAACTTACAATCAGCAAAATTAAGGTAGAGGTGAATCCTGACAAGTGCCAATGCATCAATATTTTCTGAAATCTATCACTAGTTACACAGAGTTGGTATGACAAAATACAAACCTTTTCTTAGTGTGTCCTTTCAAATTAAATAATTTTAATTTGGTTCATATCTTGCTTCTCAGTTTAATATAAAAGCATTTTTGAAAACTTATTTTTTTAAAAAAATATATTTATTTTCATCTACTTGAAAGGAAAAGTGACAGAAACAGAGACAGGTATTTTGAGATCTTGTATCTGCTGGTTTACTGTACCCTCAAATGTCTACAACAATCCTGAAGCCAAGAGCTTGGAACCACATCTGGGTCTCTGACATGGGTGGCAGAGGCCCTAATACTTGAGCAAGCCATCATCTGCTACCTCCCAGAACACATTAGCAGGAAGTTGGATGTGTAAGTAATGGGATGTGAACCAGAACTCAGCTATGAGACTGTGGGCATCTGAAGAGGTGGCTTAATCTGCTGTGCCATGACACCTGCTCCTTAATAAGGTACATATTCTTTATTTTTTTTTAAAGATTTACTTATTATTTGAAAGAAAGTTATAGAAAGTTGGAGAGGGAGAAGAAGGGAGGGAAAAGGGAGGGAGGGAGGTGAGCAGAGAGAGAGAGGTCTTCCACCCGCTGGTTCACTCCCCAAATGGCCGTGATAGCTGGAGCTGGGCAGATCTGAAGTCAGGAGCCAGAAGCTTCCTCTGGTCTCCCACACAGGTGCAGGGGCCCAAGGACTTGGGCCATCTTCTACAGCCTTCCCAGGCCGTAGCAGAAAACAAGATTAGAAACAGAGCAGCCCAACGAGAACAAGCATCCATATAGGATGCCAACACTGTAGGTAGCAGTCTACCTGCTAAGCCACAGTTCCAGCTCCCAAGGTACATATTCTTGAAAAACTGTGTTTAAAATATATTTTTAAAGTTGTAGCCAACTAGAATCTGTCATTGTAGCGTAGCGGGTCAAGCCATTGCCTGCAATGCCAGCATACCATATGGGTACCTGTTAAAGAGTCTTGGAAGCTCCACTGTTGATCCAGTTCCCTGCAAACATGCCTAGGGAAGCAGTGGAAGATGACCTAAGTCCTTGGGGCTTGCACCAGGTGGAAGACCCAGATAGAGTTCCAGCCTCCTGGCTTTGGCCTGGCCCAGCCTCAGCCTTTGCAGCCATTTGGAGAGTAAGCTAGTTAGATGGAAGACCTATCTCTAACTCTGCCTTTCAAATAAAATAAAATAAATCTTTAAATATATTGTGACCATTATTAATACACTGTTTTAAAGCACACCATGGGAGAACCCTTTTAAAGATTCAATCAAGTATATATTATTATTATAGATCTGATTGAAATCACATTAAAAGGCATGATTTTATTTATTTATTACTGATTATGAAATTAACAGAAAACTTACAAACGATACAAATTAAGAATGGGACACATTTAGCTCACACTGCAAGGCAGTCAGTAAAAAACATGCCAGACTAGCGCCTAGCTTACGACCTACACCATCTGAAATTTTATTGTCGCTGGTCTCTATCCCATCTCCTCCTTTCTGCAGACTTAATCCACCAAACTCCTGCTTTTTTCACCTCTTCCCTGATGAGTCACTATATGACTCATCCAGTAGTCCTCACTTTAAGCCTTCTAAAGGAGTAATGTTTTTCTCTGTCTTAACCAACCCCCAGGTGGATGGTAGCCTTTTAGAACAGAAACTTATATTTTACTGTATTTTATAATATTTGTATACTGTACTTTACTGTATCCTTTATAGCACTTAACATAAATTGGGAACCCAAGTACCTCATAGGTTTTCCTTCTTATAAAATGAAAAATATGGTGGCTTGTTAGGAAACTCAAACCCTGTATCAACTGACAGTCATGAGAAGAGTGCACAGAGGTCACTTCAGGAATGAGATAGAATTATCTGCAACAAATCTCTTAGGGTAAAGGAAGCTATTTAAAACAAAAGGGTCTGTTAATCTGATTTTCTGTGTCTCCAAGCCCTGTGTATCCCAATTTATTTTAAAGTCTAAATAAAATAAAGCTAACCTGAAAGTTCCGAAACCATATCCTATTATCCAAAATGGAGAATGTAAACACATGGTCCACAAATGGTTGGCTTTTGGGGTGATACCGTGGTGTACTAAAGATCTTAAAAGAAAAAAAAAGTATATTAGCTCCTTACAATATCACACATAATTCATGCTTTTGACAGTTAGCAAAAAGTCCAAAAGATGCTCACTTACAGTTATAAAACTATTTTCTGGAAAAGTTTTGTTTACCTGAATTAAGAGTTCTTTTAACAAAGCATAATGTGGTAATTCATCAAAAGCCTATAAAATAAAATAAACAGATTATTTGACAGTTGAGTGCACATTTAAAAACAGTTTTCTTTTTTTAAGCAATTACAACTATATCCACTAAAATACAACTGTGCAGAATAAGTAATTGTATCTCACATACTGAATGAGGAACTCACAGGATCAAAGGACAAAAGGGGTCGAGAACCTCTCAAGCAGTTTCCAGTCATCTTTAATTCAGCTAGGGTATGAACTAGAAAAAAAAAGTTGTAACTTTGGCACAATTACTCCAAAAGATTGTTTTAGCTTTCTCATTAAAAATATTTATAACTAAGTCAACTTACCATTTTGAACAAGGAATTTAGCAGATGGCCCATGAGGTGAATTTGAAAGCCTAAAGAAGGAAGTTTTTTCAATTAGTTACAATTTAGAATGTAGTAAATGCTAGGCACCTATTCCCAGGAAACAGCACAACATGCTTAAAATGTAAATGTACTTAGTTTTCTTTAATGGGTTCAAGGTTTTCCAAATTGAACAGTTTGTTTCATTTTATAGTCTTTTATATAAATGACTACCTATAAGAACTACCAAGAATGAGTCCACTTCTGTAAGTTCAACCCAAATCTTAGTAATACTCTTACCACATATAGAGATCCTGTTTTTTCTTAGCTTCAAAATAGATGCATTTATTGCAGTTTTTCATTTCACAGACCTAAATGAAAAAAGTACACACATATAACATAAATACAAATGAGAACTAAGTAATTCATCATAATATCCAGTTTCCTCTAAATATTTCAGTAGGTGACAAAGGTCTAACTTATTTACAGAAACAAACATTTAAAGTTCCTCTTAGACTTTCTACCCATGTAGAGTAGTCACTCTGCCTACTGCTTTGGCTTAAATAACCTATTTATTTATTTTTTTGGCCCACAGCATTCTATAGTATTAAGAGGTCTCACTTGGAGATTACTGGAAGCCTCTTTTCTTCTGACCATTCTCCAGTGAACAAACTGAAAATATGTCCAACACACAGCATTCTGCAGTCAACCCTACAAACATAGTGCTTATAGAACCAAAGACATTTCATAATGCTTATTTTGATTTTTTTACTTTTTGGCTTTTTTAAGATCACAAAATTTAAGGTCTTCTTCCCCAGTTATAATTTCATTTCTGAAGACATGGTTCCATAAAATCACCAAGGGACTGGTGAGAAGTGTTAAGTACACAAAACTTATTTCAAATTGAACTGAACTTCGTTGTCTTGAAAGTTTACAAAGTCATACTTGAGAAATATACAAAACACTACAGGAGCTAAGTCTTAAATTACTGTAGTACTGATAAACCATCTGATATAGTACTAATAAAGTCTAACTACTTGAGACTACACATCTACAAAAATGCTCCAGCTGTTTTTTCTTTTGTAACATAAGATTGCTTTATTTATTTTGAAAGTCAGAGCTATGGAGAGAGAGCTCCCATACACTGGTTCACTCCCCAAAAGGCCACAAGAAGGCCAGGCTGAAGCCAGGAGCCTGGAACTCCATCTGTGTCTCCGACCTGACTGCAGAGGCCCAAGGACTGAGGTCATCTTGCACAGCTTCTGCCAGGCCATTAGCAGGCAGCTGGACTGGAAACCAGCACCCATATGAGATGCCATCACAGTGGCAGCTTTATCCACTATGCCACAACACTGGCAGCCGCTTTTGTTTCTTACTAGTTTCAGAATAAACACAACTAGAGGAAGTGTGCGCCACTCCGGGCCTTTGCACTTACCTTCTTTTCTACCTAACATGCTTCCCAACTCTACCCTTCTTTCCCTAAAGTCTCTGCTCAAATACTCAAATATTAAGTTGAAAATTATCCCTATGGAAAGGTGCTTTCCCAGCCCAGCCTAGGTTTTTGAAAACCTATAGCTTGCATCCTCATTAGACTGTAAACTTCATAACAACAGGGGCATTTTTCTATTTAACAATGTTTCCTCAGCACACAGAACAATGACACATTGTAGCCAAGGTTCAAAAATCTGTACTACAAGAATAAACAAAAGCTTTCCAATAACAAAACAGAATGAGAACAAAACAATTCTAAATTTCGGGGACCGGCACTGTGGTGTAGCAGATAAAGCCACCGCCTGCAGTGCTGGCATCACGTATGGGCACCGGTTCGAGTCCCGGCTGCTCCCCTTCTGATCCAGCTCTCTGCTATGGCCTGGGAAAGCAGTAGAAGATGGTCCAAGTCTCTGGGCCCCTGCACCCTCGTGGGAGACCTAGAAGAAGCTCCTGGCTTCGGATCGGCTCAGCTCCTCAGCTCAGCTCCAGCCATTGCAGCCATCTGGGGAGAGAACCAGCAGAAGGAAGACCTCTCTCTCTGCCTCTCTCTCTACCTGTGTAACTGTGACTTTCAAGTAAAATAAATAAAATATTAAAAAAAAGAACAATTCTAAATTTTGAATAATTGGCTTTAAAAAAAAATACCTTCAAGAATACACTGATAATTTAACCTATCACTAGCTTATAACACTTTATCAGCAAATCCAAACACAGTATATTTTAATTATTTTATTTTTACTAATTTCAAAGGTATCAACATAGATAGGAAGACAGAGTTGAACTCCAATGTGCCAGTTTACTTCCCAAAAGCCTGCAACAGCCAAGGCTGGGCCAGGCTGAGGCTAGGAGTTCAGAACTCAATCCCATGTGGGTTACAGAAACCCAAGTACTTGAGCCATCTCCTGCTGCCTACCAGGGTACACATTAGTGGGAGCTGAAACGTGAAGCAGAGCTGGGGTTCAAACCAGGCATTCCCTTATGGGATGCAAGCATCCTAAACAGCATGTTAACTACTGCACCAAAGTGCCTATAGATAGCACTTTTAATATTGGCAAAATGTTTTAACACATGGGTTTTCTATAAATATTTAACACCTTTGAAATTGTATACTATACATGCTGATTAACAGTACCTACTGTGACACTGGTACAGTGAGGGAGAAAAAAATGATATAATCCTTCTCTCTCCAGGAACTTTCAGTATGCTTGATGGGACAAGACATAACAATGACTTCAGGCCGGCCCCGTGGCTCAATAGGCTAATCCTCCACCTGCGGCGCCGGCGACACACCGGGTTCTAGTCCCAGTTGGGGTGCCGGATTCTTTCCCAGTTGCCCCTCTTCCAGGCCAGCTCTCTGCTGTGGCCCAGGAGTGCAGTGGAGTGCTTGGGCCCTGCACCCCATGGGAGACCAGGAGAAGCACCTGGCTCCTGCCTTCGGATCAGCGCGGTGCGCTGGCCGCAGCGCGCCAGCCATGGAGGCCATTGGAGGGTGAACCAACGGCAAAAGGAAGACCTTTTTCTCTGTCTCTCTCTCTCACTATCCACTCTGCCTGTCAAAAACAAAACAAAACAAAACAAAAAAAACCAATGACTTCAAATAATATATACTTAAAACTAAATTATAAGATATAAAATACCAAACACAATAAAATTTCTGAAAACTAGTTATTAAAAGGTCAATAAAATTTATTTCTAAAAGTTTTTAAAATAAAGATTTTATTTATTTAAAAGGCAGAGTGACACAGAACATGGGAGCAATAAAGAGAGATCTGTCTTTCATCTGTTAGTTCACTCCCCAAATGGCCACAACGGCAAGGGCTGGGCCAGGTTAAAGCCAGGAGCTAGAAACTCCATCCAGGTCTTCTACATGGGTGGCAGGGTCCCCCAAGGACTTGAGCCGCTGTCCTCGGCCTTCCCAGGTGCTTTAGCAGGGAGCTGGATCACAACTGGAGCAGTCAGTACTTGAACCTGTGCTCCTTTATGGGATGCCAGGATTGCAGCCATTGTGCCACAGTGCCGGTCCCCTGAATATCTTCTATAAAGTAATTTTTAAAAATCACCAAATAACTGACTTATTTTAATTAAAAAAATTTTAAGTTGTATTTATTTGAAAGAGAGGGGAAGGAACAGAGGGATAAAATCTCTCATCTATTACTTCACTCCCCAAATGCTCCTAACAGCCAGAGCTGGGCCAGGCTGAAGCCAGGAGCTAAGAACTCAACCCAGTTCCATGTGGGACTCAACCACCTGAGCACAGCAGGAAGCTGGAATGGAACGCAGAACTGGGACTCAACCCAGGACATGAGAGGCACATGTCCCAGGCAGTGGCTTAACTGCTGAGATGAACACTTGCCCCCAAACTTACACATCTCTAGTAAAATATTTCCTGTAATTACTTCATAAAATTACCTCATTAATCACAAACAATTTATCTTTACGGTCCATCTTAGTATCTATAAAAAGAAAAAAAAAGCAAGTAAATAAAAGACCACAAAATTACTTCAATCAAACCACACCTACTATCTAGAAAATAATTTACGTGTTTTTATACTCTTCAGTTAAAACATTTTATAAAAACACCCAACTACTTCAAATACCTCAATTCTTCTTTTAATATTTACTTGAAAGGCAGAGTGACAGGAGGAGACAAGGAGAGAGATCTTACAGCTGATGGTTCACAACGGGGCCTGTGTCAGGCCAAAGCCAAGAGGCAGGAACCCCATCTGGGTCTCCCACAGGGGTAGCACTTAGGCTACCGTTTGCTACCTGCCAGGCACATAAGCAGAAAGCTGGGTCAGAAGCACAGGGCAGTTGGGACTTGAGTTTGCACTCCACTAGGAAATGCCAGTGTCCCAAGCATGGCTTAACCTGCTGTGCCACAATGCAATTCTTTTTTTAAATGCAAAGAACATCACTAAGTAGAAAACAATCCTAAAGAATTATCAACTATGGTTTAAGCAGTATTTCTCAGACTTTAGGCAGCCTGAATCCTTTCAAAAATGGAAAAATTCTCATAGAACTGTTCAAAGAACCAGTTTGGGAAAACAGTCATTAAGAAACTTTTTTAATATACTAAATTTTGAATCAGAGTTGTGGAAGAAAATGGATTTAAAAACTTAGTTATGAATTACAGAAAAAGTGTAAACAAATTCAAATTTCTAGTAGTTTAAAATATCTAAAGATATTCCAGTAATTTCAGTTTGAAAGCACTGATAAAAACACTAAGTTAAATTACAACCAAAGTTCAGCCAATTAAAACCAAAAGCACCTCTTAACACAGGCACAAAATCAATTAAACAATGGTACTACCTCTATCCAAAATTCAAAACTAGATATTCTTCATTTACTTACAGAAAACTGGTAAAAAAAAAAAAATAACTTGGCATAAAACAGATTAAGCCCAACCTAAAGGTGTTTTAAATCCTATTCCAGGATTATGATTTTTTTTTTTTAATAAAAAAAGATTTTAAAAAAGGTTCAGGCGGGCATTGTGGTACATCAGGCTAAGCCACTGCCTGGGACACCAGCATCCCATATGGGTGGGGCTGCCAGTTAGAGTTCCAGTTTCACCACGTCCAACCCGGCTTTCTTCTAATGTACCCTGAGAGGCAACAGATGATGGCTTGGGTGCTTGGGCCCCTGATGCCCACAGAGACCCAGATGAACTCTGGGCTTCTGGCTTTGGCCTGGCCCAATCTAGGCATCGTGGGCATTTGGAGTGCAAACCAGCAGATGGAAGATCTCTTTTTCTGTTGCTCTGTGTTTCAAGTAGATGAAACTAAACATAGAAAAAAGAAAAAAAAAGGCAACACATAGCAGGCTTGAATCCTTTAAAAGGTCAAATAATCCCACTATCTCATGACCTCCAACAGCATTTTTATGAAGGCACCCCTGGATCTTCAGAGGTACTGTGGTTCTTTATCTGACAACACTGTGTAAGTCAATATACATGGAAGTTAAACACACAGAAGCAGTGTTATAGACACAAGTCTTGAAAGCATATAATATCAAAGCTACCTGCTTTAGAATGAGGCATCAGCATTCTCAAGTCCTGCATTAAATGTCTTGTCCTGAAATTTATTCCTCTGGAAGAAAAGATAAGGATCCGTTCCTTGTTTTTCCACTTGCCCTAAAAAAAAGAGCGAGTGAACTTTTAAAATCTCAAACCTATCTTGTCTCTTAGTATTGTTTAAGAAGCTATTTGACTTCCTTCTCATAACCCTAAAGGCTTTCTTACTCTCTCTTTAATATTTCTGTTCTCTCCATCGCAGAGCGCTTCTATCTAGACAGCTTCAATCATCAATTCTACAGGAGAGTAAGGAACTCTTTCCAGCCAGAAAAATCTACAGTCACCCCCAGCACCCTCAGAGGATTAGTTCCAGTCCCCTCTTCCTCCAATTTCTGATGTAAAATGGCAAGAGTATGTGCACTTCCTGTAGACTTTAAATCACCTTTAGATTAGTTATAATCCCCAATAAAATGTAAATGCTTCAGAAACAGTTGTTATACTGTATTGTTTAGGGAATAAAAGGAATAAAAGCCTGTACATGCTGAGTGTTTACTTCAGACTGAGGTTGCTGAATCTTCCACTGGTGCTTATTTTCCATTTCATCAGCACAAATAAATGCTACCAATTTCTCTTCGCAGTAATTCTTGTTCCTTTCTTGTCCACACTGACCTTACTTAGGTCCTTATAACTTTGAATCAACTGCAAATTTCTTCAATGGCCCCTCTTCCTAGACAGGAGCTCCTGTAACAGACACAGCCAACCGCAGCAGCTAAAGCTTTATTAAGCACAGCTTCACTCACCCTACCTCCCACGGTTTCTAAACAAGTCCAAAAATAAGGCAGCTTTAATACTGGACTCTAAAATGGGCTAAACCACGTTTTCATCTTTCCAGAACCGCTGCTCCACAACAACTCCAGGCTTAGGCCAATCTCTCTCTACCCTTCTTTTAAAAAAAAGATTTTCAGGCTCTTACCCACTTCAACACCTTTAATCAACTCTTCTACCTTTCCCTCAGACTACTCCCTCTCATTCTGGACCAAAATTCTCCCCTTCCCTTTGAAACCCAGCTCAAAGGCTAAGTTCTCCATGATTCCTTCTCATCTTAGGGTAAAAGCAATCTCACTCTCTCGCATTGCCACCGACGGCACCACGGCGTGACTTAGATATGACCGCACTTCTTCCTAGCTCCTTAAAGGAGGAGGGAGAGCATTCCCATTTACTGACGATCTAGAGGCCCAGTTTACTCCTCACCAAAAGTATCTCGCTCCTCTTAATCTGCAGATGAGAAACCAGCACCAAACGTCACCGACACCGACTACCGGCTAGGCTACCACTAAGCACGGGGGACACAGAAGTTAACGTCCCCAGGGTCCGTCTTAGATTAGGGAATTCTCTCGGCTGAAGGCTAACTCCGAAACCTGTGCTCATCTTCTGGACCACCACCATCAGCTCCTGCACATTCTTGGTTTTCTCCTGACCGCCAGCATCTCCGGGGGAAGAGGTCCCACGCTGGTCGGCCTTGCAATCCCTCAAGCCAGAGGAAGCCTAACTGGACAGTCGCACACGGCTCCTTAGAAGCGTGTTTGGTGAGACAGCTATACGATCTGACGTATTTTTCACTATCCCTTCAGTTCAAGACCCAGATCAAGGCGTCAAAGGCCTCATCCCACGAACAACTTTCCAAAGGTTCCCAAGGCGAGCTTCAGGGTTCCCGACTGACACTGGCCAACCACGGCAGCACAGACCGAAACAACTTCGCAAAAACACACCCTCCAAAAGAGGTAGAAAAGAACAAGGAAAAGCCCATGGAAACACCTGAGCTGAGTTCTCCCCTACGCCGGGTAAAGAGGGTTCCAAAGCCCACCACCTAAACGGGGACGGCGGCGTGTACGAGTTAGGTGCACACATCGTGCACAGACCGTCCAAGAGGACTGCTGGGAACGAGCTCCCCCAACACCCCAGCTACTCCGAAAGGAAGAGAGATTTAGGGAGTCCCGGGGAAGACGCGTGGAGCCGCCGCCGCCGCAGCGGTAACCGCTTCTACCTTGCACACGGGGCCGGGGATACGGTCTCTGTTTTCTTCCTCCACCTCTTCTGTCGTGACGCCACTCTTTGCCTGCGGCCCGGCATCTCTGTCGTCTTTTTTCGGCTTCTTCGCCTGCACCGGCAACCCTCCACGCCGCTTCCTCTTGGTGGCCGCCATCTTGCCTCGACACCACTACTGGCTTTTCTTCCGGTTCCCCCCACTCCACCGCTCGCTCCACTTCCGGTCTCTATGGTACCGCACGCGCTCCTCTATAGCTCCTCCGTGGCTCTCTGGCGCTTACTTCCGGTCTCTATGGTACCGCTCGCTCTCCTCTATGGCTCTTCCGCGACTCTCTGGCGCTTACTTCCGATCTCGGTGGTGCCGCCGTGCGACTCTCTAGGCCTCCTCCATCTCTGTGGTGACGGTGGCCGAAGCGGAGGGCTGGTCTGAAGAGAGTGGCGGGAGCTGAGCCGCCCGCTCCGTGGTATTCCGGGAGCTGCAGCTCGCCTGCTCGGTGTCCAGGCTGGGCCGGGCTCTCGGGTGTCTGGCCCCCTCTACAAGGGTAGGATTTCCGGCGCTCGCGATCCCGGCCCTAGGAAGCGGGTGGTCTCCCGCGGGCAGCTGAACTGGTTGTCTCGGACTCTGGGAGAAACTCTTAGGACCCGAGCGCCCCCACCCCGGTTGCCTGTCGGGTTGCAAGCCAGGTTGGTGGCGCGAGGTGGCCCGAGCGGATCCGGGGATAAGTGGCGTGACTGGCCCCCTAGTGCACCTCCTTTGTGGGTTGCGTGTTTTCGTTCTGAGCTACTTTCCCCGTGTTACCGTCCGCACTGGGAAGACAAGAATCCCCCGCAGGGTCACAGTTACAGTGGCGCCTCGCCTGGCCCCTTTCACGTTATCTCCGACCCCCGGCAGGTGCTCTGAGATCCGCGGGAGCGGGTGTGGGCCCCAGGTGCCAGGCAGGATGCCGCTGCTCACCCAGCGGATCCAGGACGAGAGTGTCCAGTACAGCCTAGTGGCCAGCCTGGACAACGTCAGGAACCTCTCCACGATCCTGAAAGCCATTCACTTCCGCGAGCACGCCACCTGCTTCGCTACTAAGAATGGAATCCGAGTCACAGTGGAAAATGCAAAGTGTGTGCAAGCCAACGCTTTCATCCAGGTACGCAACGGGCGCCTTCCAGCCCGAGAAAGGTCTCAGTATTAAGTCTGAAAACAGAATGGCGTTTAAGGTGTCTTCTCTCCTGGAAACATTCTTTCCCCATCTTAACAGAGATAATGGTGAATAATGATAATGATTGACGTTTATAAAGCTAAACCCTAGGCTAGCCAGTCCTCTAGGTGTTCGGCTCATCTGATCCTCACCGTAGCCCCACACCTTCTGTTGCTTCCGTTTTACGTATGTGCAAACAGTTAATCGATTTGCCAGCAGTCCCAACAGTTGAGATAAGAACCCCAAATGTTTGTTTCCAGACTATATGCTCTTTAGTAGCTATTTCCCTATTAGAAAAATGCTTTTCCTTCTTTTGGTTGTAATAGAATCTTACACAGAAATATTTGTATGGTTCAGAAAAGATTTTGGATTCTGCTCATTTTTTTTTTTTTTTAAGATTTATCTATTTATTTGAAAGTCAGAGTTACACAGAGAGAGGAGAGGCGGGGGGGGGGGTGTCTTCCATCCACTGGTTCACTCCCCAGATGGCCACAACGGCCGGAGCTGCGCTGATCTGAAGCCAGGAGCCAGGAGCTTACTCCCGGTCTCCCACATAGTTGCGGGAGCGCAAGGACCTGGGCCATCTTGCTGGATTGGAAGCAGAGCAGCCAGGTCTCGAACCGGTGCCCATATGGGATGCGGGCGCTGCAGGCCAGGGAGTTAACCCACTGCACCACAGCGCCAGCCCCTCAGTTTTGTTTTGTTTTGTTTTTAAACACCTGAGTTCACAGTTATGACCCCAGGCATGGAAGAATAAATAAGACTTGATTCTTCTCAAAGAAACTGAAAACTAGTATCACACAATGCATTGTTAGATTGTTTTCCAAATGACCTTAGCCATACTGATGGGCACAAAAAAGGACAGTTTTACATGCAAGAACGGAGAGAGGGGCGGCTTTGTGGTATGGAGATCCTGGCGCCCCATATCTGTGTTGTTTCACGGCCAGGCCGCTCCACTTCTGATCCAGCTCCCTACTAATGGCCTGGGAAAGCACCAAAGGTGGCCCAAGTGCTTGGGCCCCTGCCACCCACACGGGAAACTAGGAAGAAGCTCCTGGCCCCTGGCCCTGGCTTGGTTCAACCCTGGCTGTTGCAGCCATCTGGGGAGTGAACCAGCATATGGAAACTCTTTTCTCCATCTCTCTGCCTGTGTAACTCTGACTTTCTTTCAAATAAGTACTCCTTACCAGATAAAATTAGATAACGAAAACGAGAGAAAGGACCCTTCACAAGGTTTTGCATGGGAGCTCCATTACTGTTGCATCTTCACTGAGCAGTAATGTTCTAATGGAAAACAGTTGACAAAACTAAGATGTTTTGATTGGTAATTAGGTAACATCTCATGGGGTCAGCACAGTATAGTTATTTTTAAAACAGTGAAACCTAGAATCTTATATGTGAGTTTTCAGTCTTTAATATGTGTAACCATCTCTGTGCTTATCTTCTCTTAGGCTGGAATATTTCAAGAGTTCATAGTTCAGGAAGAGTCCATTACTTTTCGCATTAATTTAACTGTCCTTTTAGACTGCTTATCAATTTTTGGATCAAGTCCTACGCCAGGTAAACCATTTTATTATAAAGACACAACAGCATTATACAGAATGAGAATAATGCAATGTTATTTAGCATAAAAGCATTTCTTTAAAAGAATTTCTTAAACCAGTTTCTTTGTCAGTGGTTACTCTTGTGGACCCTGACATTTTCGAGTGTCAAGTAAGAAAGAGTGTGTTTATAGGGCACTGGCAGTGCGGCACCACAGGTTAAGCTGCCACATCCCATAACGGAGTGCCAGAAAGCAATGTATTAAAACATGTATAACCAGAAATAGTGGAATTGTCAGGATAAAACTAAAGTATTTTATCTAGAGAACCATAGCTGAATTTTGCCTAATATCCAACTTGCTTTCCTACAAAATAAAATAATTCTTCTGGGGATTCCTATAGTTTTACATTTATGGTTACTGAATTCCTCCATTCCTAAAAATAATGCCCAAAAGAAATGAAAACATAACTTATAAACAGGATTTCTTAAGAATGCAAACAAATTTTGAATACAATAAATTGCTCCCAGAACTGGTTTCTGCTTTTCCCTGCCATTAACTAGCGGTGTGATTTCTTCACCATTTTAGGGACTCTAACTGCACTTCGGATGTGTTACCAGGGTTACGGCCACCCTTTGATGCTGTTTCTGGAAGAAGGCGGAGTGGTGACAGTCTGCAAGATCAATACTCAGGAGCCTGAGGATACTCTGGATTTTGATTTTTGCAGCACCAACGTTATTAATAAAATTATTCTGCAGTCAGAGGGACTCCGGGAGGCATTTTCCGAGTTGGATATGACAAGTGAGGTCCTACAGATCACCATGTCTCCTGACAAGCCTTATTTCAGGTACTTGAGAGCAGTATAGTTATGGTTATTTGGTCTGTATGCTGTCTCCTCACTGAAGATGTAGAATTTTTATGGTCAAACTTAATAGAATTTTCAGAACTTCCGTAATTTTACAGCTCAAGAAACTTAAGACCCAAGAAGACTCAATATATAGGATTTCATAGTTAGGTCACGTTGGTTTCTAGATGAGAAGCCCAGTCTCCTAATTCACAAATCAGTGGGGTTTTCATTGTCATACTACTGATGATTGTAAATCAGTTTATATCATGAAGAAAAATGCACTTAAATGTTTGGAGAAAGTGTTTGTGTTATATATATATTTTTTTTCTTAATTCACCCTAGTTCAGGATGTAAAGGGGAGCAGATGTTTTCTCTACGTTTCATTTACTATTGATCACCTGCCATATGCAGATCCATCTTAGAGAGCATTATGAGAGGACTATGTTGAATTGAAGGTGAAGACACAGTGAAACAGCAGAGAACACACTTGCAAGCCCTTCAGAAGCATCCTGCTTAGAGATCCTTCTGATACCAGCAGACACATGGGTCCTGGAGGAGGATCTGCCAAAGAAAGCTTCCGGGGGAGGGCAATTGCAGTAGGAACACCTGTCAGAAACTGCCCAGCTGCTCCTGGCAAGTCTTTGCAGGATGAAAATTGATGTGAAGATTCTAACAATTCAGAGAGAAAAATCTAAATGTTTCTTTTCTCTTGAAATATTCTCTTGAAATACTAAGAGTAAGGAAGCTAAATACATAAGTGCTAAGAGGTAAAAGTTGTTTATTTTGTATCTACTTTAGAAGAATTTCATGCCTTTCTCATAGCATTAGGCAGTTAAAATTTTGGCTTTGGGTATTTTATTAAAATATTAGTCAAGAGGTGGGCATTTGACCCATTGGTGATATGAATTGCCATTACAGGCACTTAATAGTATTCTGTAGGACCCCTTTCTAAGTCATCTCTCTCACCATGCGAACTAGATATGATATTTTTCATCTCTAGGGTGGGAAATGATTTAGTGATGTGAAGGTGGGACTTGGTTAGGTCAAATTAAAGGTGCCTGTAATACTTGGGGTAATTGGATATATAGGTACAGCACTGACAAGTCAGTCTAATCTGGATATGTAGATTTGGGAACCAGCATCATGGCTGGGCATGGATGAAATGCTTAGAGGAAGGGGTTATGTTACAGAAAGAGAGAAGAATGGACTCTGGGAAAACTAACAGCTGGAAGATGGTGCATGAAGAAAATTGACACCTAGGTGTGTTTATCACTGCTCTTAGACCTACCAACATGCCATAGCAAAATCCCATAGCAAATGTCTAATAAATTTGTGGAGATCAAATCAACATATCCACATTTGCAAACTGTTTACACACAAGTGGTTGATACTGTGGAGCAAGGCAAATCATGAAACTGCCTTAAGATTCAGAAATGCTGCAGCTGGTTGGTGGTACAAGAGGGGACAGGATCCGAGGTTTACCGTGTACTTACCGTGTACTTCAGGGTTTTCCGTCAAGCGTCGGTTCTCTCTCCTTGTATATTTTTGACTTAAGGATAAGGAAAAGCTATTTGATAACAGTAGGATTAAGGAATGAAATTGAATGTCATGTCCACCCTCCCCCCATTACTTCTGCAACTTGATTTTCTTAAAGCTGTGGTGTAGTTGCCAGTTGCCCTATATTCCCACAGCATCCTGTGGGAATCTTTACTATGGCACTTGTTACAGTGCGTTGTAAACACTTAGATGTCTGTTTCACCTGCCAGAATGAGCTTCATAAGGAAATGTTTTATTTGGATCCTGATGTGGTTTAGTGTTGGGCCAAAGAATAAACAACTCGCTCATTTTCAATTGCAGGTTGTCTACTTTTGGAAATGCAGGAAGCTCCCACCTTGACTATCCCAAAGATTCTGATTTGATGGAAACATTCCTTTGTAATCAGACTCAAGTTAACAGGTTAGTTTTTGTTTTTGAAGATGTGTTTATTTATTTGAAAGGCAGAGTTATAGAGAGGCACAGGCAGAGAGAGAAAGAGAGGTCTTCCATCCACTGGTTCACTCCCCCAGATGGCTGCAATGGCCAGAGCTGCACTGATTGAAAGCCAAGAGCCAGGAGCTTCTTCTGGGTCTCCCAGGAAGGTACAGGGGCCCAAGGACTTGGACCATCTTCTACTACTTTCCCAGGCCATAGCGTAGAGTTGGATTGGAAGTGGAGCTGCCAGGACTCAAACCAGCACCCGTATGGGATGCTGGCACTGCAGGCAGCGGCTTTATCTGCTATGCCACAGCGCCAGCCCCAGGGTTAGTTCTTAATGTAGAGATTGCCACCAGTGATGAAGGTGAGGTTAAATGCCAAATTTTTCTTTAAAAATTAACTTTACTGTTAAAAGTATGTACTATTTTTTAAAAAGGAATGGTAGGCTGCTGGATTTACTTACTGAGTTGGAGTTGTAATAATGGATGAATAAAAAATGAAGAGAAAATATTAGTACTTAGATAAGTATTTTATTTTTACTGTGTGGTAGTTCTTGGCTAAGTTTTTGTCCTTTGCCTGGAATTGTAAGCACTGCATTATGTCCAAATCACAGCTTGTTATTTGTTCTTGTACAGGTACAAGATCTCTCTACTGAAACCCTCTACAAAGGCCTTAGTCCTGTCTTGTAAAGTATCCATTCGGACAGATAACCGAGGATTCCTCTCATTACAGTACATGATTAAAAATGAAGATGGACAAATATGTTTTGTGGAATATTACTGCTGCCCAGATGAAGAAGTTTGTGAATCTGAGTACTGAATGTGAGAACCGACAGGATACAAGTGTGACACATTTTGTTAGGTTGTGTTCTCATTCTGATATAGTACTCTTCATGATTTCTTCTTGGATTTTTTCCATATGGAAGAGGCATAGGGAAGAACTGGAACAAAAACCCTCTACTCTGAGTATTGCTGTAAATTTTGTAAATAAATATTTTCTTGTAGTCATAGATTTTCCAGTGTTAGACTGTCCTATGTTTCTGTTCTTTGAACTCGGGAATTAACTGTCAGCCAAGGCAAACAAATTATATATTCTCCAGTAGAACATTTCAGGAGTCTGTAAAGACTGTAAGTTTGATGAAGCTGTGGCTGAAATGTTCTTTTATTTATTCTCTATTAGAAAAACCAAACACGTGGGCATGACTTACTAGTTTGGATGTCCTGCTCAGACCGGCAGACTGGGAACTTGTCAGAAACTCTGCAGGTGGGGCCTACAATCTGTTTTACGCCTGCCAAAGTCTGGGACCACTAGTTTAAGGTGCTGTTTTAAAATAGTATTTAATTCCATTGAGGTGACAGCTTTTACATGTGATTTCTTCACAAATGCCGAAGTTGAGGCATTACTAAACCCATCTAAACAATTCTTTATATAACCTATTTTTATTTTTAAAGTATCCCTTTTGAAGAAATCTGTGTACAGGATATGAAACCGTCTTCAGAGTTCCAGACAAGAATTCCTCCTTGTTCTCAGGACTGCTAAATGTCCTCAGTACTCACTAGCTCCCTTCCATGACCTGTCACAGGTTTTTGGCCAAAGCAAGATACAGAAATCCAATCATTAAGGAATTTGGTAAATTCCTGGGTAGTTTTCACTAAAATAATTTGTGTAACATGTACATATTTTTGTATTTAATAAAATATATTATCTGACTTGTTCTCTACTAGAAAAAAAGTATAACTAAAATGAAGTTTCTGCCTGTGTTATAACTGCACTTGGAGAAGCAAATGGGCAAATTACATATTGTCAAAATATATTTGGTTCAGAACAGAAGTCTGAATTATGAAAATAATCTGTCAACATTTCAGGGACTATAATTTTCTTTTAAATTTAAAATAGGGTAGTTAGTTACATTTTTACTCATTGGTGTGTCCAATAACCTGAGTAGTGCCTATTATATAATAGGCATTTAAGAAACATTTGTTAGGGGCGGTGTTGTAGCATAGTGGATATAGCCTCCACCTGTAATGCTGGCATACTGTGAGCAATGGTTCGAGACCCAGCTGCTCCACTTCCAATCCAGTTTCCTGCTAACCTGCCTGGGAAAGCAGCAGAGGATGGCCCAAGTGCTTGGGCCCCTGTATGCACGTGTAAGATCTGAAAGAAGCTCCTGACTCCTGGCTTCAGCCTGGCCCAGTCCTAGCCATTGCAGCCATCTGAGGAGTGAACAAGTAGATGGAGGATTGCTCTCTCTCCCTGTCTCTTCCTCTAAGTCTGCATTTCAAATAAATAAATAAATCTTTAATTAAAAGAAGCATTTGTAAGAGGAAAGACTTCACTGTCAGATTATCTTGTAGCATCTTATTAATCACTTTAATTCTGATTATTTAGTTCTAAATGTATTTTGACCCAATGTATTTTTTAAGTTGTACTATTTTCAAATAAATTGATAATAAGGACAGAGGTGGACCTCTGGCACAGTGGGTAAGATGTCACTTGGGATGTGTGCAGCCCATATTGGATGTAGCCTGTGTTCAAGGACCAGCTAGCTGTGCCTCTGATTCCACCTTCCTGCTAATGCACACCTTCAGAGGCAACAGATGATGGCCCAAGTGCTTGGGTCCCTGCAACCCACTTGAGAAACCAGGACTGAGTTCCAGTTTCTGACTTCAGCCTGGCCCAGCCCTGGCTGTTGCAGGCATTTAGGCAATGAAGCAGTAGCTGGAAGATCTCTGTGTGTCTGCCTTTCAAAAAAATAACAAAAGATGAGGAAATAGAAATTAATTTTACACATTTAAAACTATCATTTTAGCTGCACATACCTTCAACTACTTAAAGTTCAGAAGCTAAATTCTAAGCCATCCTAACAGCATGCTACAGATTTAATCATTTCCTCTTCCTATGTGTTCTTTAAGAATTGTTTACTAGTAGTCTAACTTTATTTTTGTTCCTTTAGAGGACACAAGGTGGCGCCCATTCTCAGGTAGAGCAGGGATGCTCTTCTACCACTAGACTCTTTCACATACTGAGTTGCTGATTCCTGGCTGCTTTTTTTTTTTTTTTTTTTTTTAATGTTTATTTATTTGAAAGGCAGAGAGATGATTGCATCCACTGGTTCACTTTTAGATTTATTTATTTATCTATTTGAAAGGTAGAGAGAGACTTTTCCATCTACTGGGCACTCCTCAAATGGCCACAATGGCCAGAGCTGGGCCAATCTGAAGCCAGGAGCTTCTTCTGGGTCCCCAACTTGGGTACAGGGGCCCAAGGACCTGGGTCATCTTCCACTGCTTTCCCAGGTACATTAGCAGGGGGCCAGATTGGAAATAGAGCAGACGGGACTCGAACCAATACCCATATAGAATATGCGATGCTGGCACTGCAGGCCTTACCCACTGTGCCACAGCACCAGCCCCGATTCCTAGGTTCTTGTTGCAGGCATTTGAAGAGTGAAACAAGATCTGTATCTCTCTCACAGGCAGTGAAAATAATTCTTTGTAACTACCACTCATTATCACCACCATTTCATAAAACACTTTACCATCAAAATCTCAGAAAACAACTTTACACTGACAATAAAAAACAAAGTATTTAACAATTTTCAAATGCAAAAAACAGGTACACTATGAAATTTTATGACGCTACACTTCATGCTGTGGTTTCATTCACACACATTTGTCAATTTGGAGATCTTTAAAATTCAGGTCTCACAATATTGTAAAAGGTTTAAAATGTTGGTGTCGCTCAGAATGGGAGTCTGAATGGCTGCTGCTTTCTGGTTCTTTACCACAGCCATTGAAAATCCATTGTCAACCAGGTCTAGGGAACTGGGAACAATTCTGAGGCTACTGCAGTCAAGTCAGAGTATTCTAGGAACAGCAGCCCCGTCGCCAGGGAGGGCTACAATGAACAATGAGGGAAAGTGCCCATTTGATAAGCACTGCAGAGAAGGGTTCTAGGATGTAGATGCCTTCAGCCCCGCCTGCAACCTGGGACCTTGACTGCAAGTGCCACGCCTATAAGCATTGCAGTCGCAAGCTTAGCAATCTGTGAACAAGCCACAGCAGAACACTGCACACCACCGTCTCTTGGGTACCAACTGATTAGTAGACTTTGCAGGCTGGACCAATGACTGAAATAATTTCTTGGATGAAAATGTGGTTCTGTGAGTACTGAGTGAGCAGCAGAGGAGCTGGTAGGAAAACATGTGTCCCCACCGACGCAGGGTCTTTGAGTTCCACTACATCAGCTAAGACAATTGAGAAAGCATGAGAGCGGGAAAGTCAAGGCGTTGCTAACGTAACCTTGAAGGAAGGAACATAACTCAAGAGTGACGGTCTTACCTGGAAGTTCTTTCCCAACCAACCTCAGCGAGCGCTCCTCTCCAGACTGAGGGTCTTGAAGGCAGTTTGGCGAAGGTAGCGCAGCAGGGTGCAAAAGGTAACTGATCGTCTGCGATTCAGGAAGCCTGCTTTATAATCACCCGCTGACCTTGAACAAATCACTTAGCCTCTCCTGTTCCTTGTTTCTTCACTTAGAAAATGAAAAAAAAAGGTCCTTTCTGAATCACGTTACAACTTCAGCCAATCAGATGAGGACAAGTGATTCAGAAGGATCTGTGACTAAAAACACCTCCAAATAGTAGATCAACTGCTTAGCTATGAGAACTGAGTAGAAAGAAATCAAAGTTAGAGCAGGGGAAATGGGGGCCAGCATTGTGGAATAGAGGGTAAAGCTGCTGCCTGCGACGATGGCATCCGATGTGGGAGCCTGTTCAAATCCCAGCTGCTTCACTTCTGATCCAGCTACCTGCTGGTGGCCTGGGAAAAGCAGAGAAAGAGGGCCCAAGTGCTGGGGCCCCTGCACCCATGTAGGAGATCTGGAAGAAACTCCTGGCTTCTGGCTTCAGTCTGGCCCAGCACCAGCCATTGTGGCCATCTGGGGAGCAAAGCAGTGGATGGAAGACCTCTTCCCTCTCTAATTCTGACTTTCAAGCAAATAAATAAATTGAAAAAAAAAAAAAGTGGGGGAGGAGGAATGGAAGATAACGGTGTCCCAAAGACATAAGAAATTATATCTTAGGGACTGGCACTGTGGCATAGTAGGTTAAGCTCCACCTGCAGTGCCAGTATCCCATACAGCTGCTGGTTTGTGTCCCAGCTGCTCCATTCCCGATCCAGCTCCCTGCTGATGCACCTGGGAGAGCAGAAGAGGACTGTCCAAGTGCTTGGGCCCTGCACCCACACAGGAAATGTGATGAAATTCCTGGCTCCTGGCTTCAGGCTGGCCCAGCCCTGATGGTTGTAGCCATTTCAGGAATAAACCAGCAGATGGAAGACCTTTCTCTCTGTCTCTCCTTCTCTCTATCTCTCTGTAATTCTGCCTTTCAAATAATCTTTAAAAAAAAAAAAAAGAAAAAAAGAAAGAAAGAAAGAGAAAGGAAGAAAGGAAGAAAGAAGAGAAAAGAGAAGACAAGACAAGACAAGACATAAGTTAAATCAACATGTGTCTAAAAGCTTTCTTTCCTCCAAGTTACAGGTCAGGGTCCTGGTTTCTAATGACTCTTGGGTGCTTTACCTGTAATGCTGCTGCTAAGTGAACCTTTATCTCCAGAGTCTTTAGTAAAAAAAAATAAAAATTAAAAAATTAAAAAAAGTGCGGTCTGGCTTTTGATCTGCACTGCTAGCCGTGTTGACAAACATTTTGTAGTCCAGGATTTTTGTTATCAACAAGGTTGCCTTTATTGTTGGCTCTCTTGTATAGAGGTTTACTCTTTACTGATAACAGAAGACCTACAGGAAAGGAAAAAACCATTTGTGCATTTTTCTGGGTTTTGGCTCATTTTTTCTCCTTCACTACAGGGCCCCTCTCTCCCAGCACCACATCACTGCCTTATCCAAGCTGGATGGCTGCACTCACCACGTACCCCATACGCCTCAAATTCTGACTTCCAAGAGGCCTCCAGAGCGGGCCCGGCATCTTGAGTTTTCCTGCTTACAAGATCACAGTGGACCTGTTGCCGAGTGACGTCACAGCTGCCCTACTGTGGTAGCATAAAGCATTCCTCACACGTGTATGGTGCTGCTGGTATAAACAGACCTACTGCACTGTAGTCACATACCAGCATGACGCTTAGGGCCCATAACACCTGAAGGCGCTAATAAGTGGCTATGTGACTGACTCGTGTTGTCACCATATTTTTATCATTACTTTAGTGTGTACTCCTATTTGTAAAAAATGAAAGACTGTAAAATAATCCGCTGTGTCACGCCAGCAGCAGCCTGCCGTCTCTCGATTGCATCAGGATGCCACATCAAGCGCTGGCTGAGAGCACCGGGGTCTCTCTAAGTCCACTCTATACTCGATGATGTCTGTGCAAGGGAGAAATTGTGTAGCAGCACACTTCTTGGAACACATCCCCATTGTTCAGGCACGCACGTCAGCTCCCGGCTCACTTATCTAAGGTAGGGCCTCATGTACTCCATGACTTTCAGGGGACTTTTCCCACAAGTGGAGAGATTTGAAGCCCAGAGACCTTGTAAAACCTCTGAGTGCCCAATACCGGAGGAGTTGAGCTGGAGTTACAAGTAATATGGTCCAAAAGACTGACCCCAAAAGTTTCTATTGTTCTTCTATCACCTATTTTTACCTCTGTGTATTTTTTTCATAGCCCTCACTTCCCTGAGAAAAATGCATATTGTTCCAGAGCAGTTGGCAGTTAGCTTAGTGGTTAGGATGCCCTTGTCCCACGTCAGAGTGCCTGGCTTTGCTGACTGGCTCCAGATCCTGACCCTGGCTAATGCACAGCTTGGGACATAATGGTATGGCTGGAGTGCCTGGGATCTTTCCTCCATGGGGGAGACCTGGACAGAGTTTCTGGTTCCTGGCTTTGGCCTCAGCCCAGCAACAGGGAGAGGATGCATGCAGAGTTCACAGCAGAAGGTCTGGCCCCATGGCAATCATGTGTGGAATAATGGCTATTTTACTTTTATGGAAACCTTGGCTTTGACCTTACCACCTTTAGTTGCACCACTGGGACGCGAAGCACTTGCCGACAGGGGCTGGCGACTTGGAAAAGGCTATTTGGTGACTGAACCGACATATGGGATGTCTCTCATATAAATAAATAAATAGTTTCACAGAAATGTGAGATACAAAATTCTGTGAGAAACATGGCCTTTTTTAATATGCAAATTCCACTACAGACTTCAGTTTATTCTCTACTACTGGTCTGTATGATATACAGAAAGCTGATTGGCACTTTAACTTCCTTAGCAGTAAACCAAGAGATAATGGGACTGCAAATCAGCAGAGGATAAAGACACATTAATTCAGTTGCTCAGGGGCCGCAAGACATCAGAGATGGACAAATAAACTGCCTGGGACAGTAACTAGAAATCAGTCTACTACCCTGCCACCACAAGGTGGCAGGCTTCCCCTTCCCTGAAATCTCCTGTTCCCTGAAAGGCCCAGTAGACTTCCACCATGTCTATCTTGTTGAGGTTTAAGTGTGTGTCAGCACTGTCTTCTCTATGATATTATCTGTGCATCCAGGAGTTTATAAGCCCTAGATCACTTCTGAGATGTTAACCAAAATGTTTTCCACATCAGCTCAGGGGTAACTTTTCCAAGTCACCAGCCCCTGTCGGCCAAGTGCTCCGTCTCCCAGTGGTGTAACTGTAAGATGGTACGGTCAAAACCCAGATTTCCATAAAAATTAAATAGCCATTATCCCACACCTGATTACCATGGGCCAGGCCTTCTGCTGTGAACTCTGCATGAATTCTCTCGATTATTCCCACAACAATGCTGAAGAACAGGTACTCATCCCCAGGACTGTAATCTGCAAAGTGCTGATTCATTTTGGGGACTTTAACCAGGCTGGCTGTCTTCGGAACTACTTCTCTTAATCATGAATCATAAATTAGTTCATAAGGTGATGTTGACATCATGTTTCTATGATCAAATAAAGCAGTCTGTTGGTGAGCCAGATCTTGTTCAGAAAGACTTCATTATGCCCTGAGGTAGGCTCCAGATTCTTAACCACACCACAACAGAATTCTTGTGACCTTACTTCAAGCATGTGCTATATCCTTTGCTTTAAACAAAACCGAACCTTAGCTTTTCTGCTTTGCTTCTAAACCTAGTGCAAGGTTTTATTTGCCAAAATGGAAATCACTGACCATTCCAAAAAGAATTCAAGTGAGTAAAAATACATATTTTTTAAAAAAACAAAATAGATTTGTTCTCACTATGCCAATAGAGACCTTTCAAATATGAAGAGACTCCAGGAGACTTTCAGGAAAGTAACCTGTGTCACTTTGTTAACCTAGTTTATTTTTTTGCCTAAACAAATTTCTGTCACACAGATATGTAAGCAGACAGCCCTTGGAATCAGCATTCTTTGCAGTCCCCTTTAAGAAATGTTGCCCTAGACAACACCTAAGAGGTACTCACCATGCCACTCCTGGGGTCTGCTGCCTCAGTCATGCTTCGGTGCCCTTGCACATGGAGTTCCTTCCTCCTGGAATGGCTTCTCTCCTCCATTGGGATGAACTGGTGTTTGCCCTTTAAGAAAGAGCCCAAATGTCACCCTCTCAGGAAGCCCTTCCAGCTCTCACAGTCTCTCTGCTCTCGTTGCACTGAGACCTCGATTCCAGAACTCCGACTCCATGTTTCATTATTTCTTCATGTTTGTCTCTTGTACTCGACTGCTGTTCTCTTAAGATTAATGATCGTGTTTTATTTATCTCCTTTAGCACCTGCAGCTCTAACTGCACCTGGCACTTAAGAGGTGCTAACCAGCTGTTTGTTGAAGGAATGAATGAAGATGAAGAAATCGAGGTGCAGAATATTTAAGTAACTTAAAGCCACAGAGCAGAGCTGGGATTCACACAGGAAGTGCCTTGTCTCAGAGTATAGTGCTCTTTCCTCCACACCTGCATAGCAAATGCGTGGCAGAAATGCAGCTTTTTCCCTACTCATACTCCATGGCAGAAAACACCACTAAATCAAGCTCCACCAAACACAAGCTTTCTGGAATCTCAGGCATCACTCCAGGAAACCAGTGGTCCATTTGCTCTCTTCCCCTTCCTCTGGGTCTCTTGTTGTGAGCATGGCAGACTGGTTATTGATAGTGGAGCTCCCCACTGCTCTGCTAAAGACAAATTATACTGAGCTGGCTCCTTGTGGCTTAGCAACACCTGATCCCCATAAGGGAGCCCCTAAAGCAGGAAACTCAAGGCTCCTGAGTTCTCTTCTTTGTCTGTCCCAGTGCCTCCAGCTATTCCTAGAACCTTGATTTGGAAAAAATGCTGCTCCTTGGCGTGTGAATGCTTCACGGATCGTGCCCTGCACTCATTCAGACCAAGGCTTTGCTAGCTATTTCTTTCCCTTCACTGAGGTAGTGTGGGGCTATTTACTAACAAAGGATAGGACAGGAATATAAAAGCAACTTACAGAGCCTAACATTTCATCAGTAAGGTCTCACCCAAGACTGGTCTGGCCACCACAAAACATACTGGGCTTAGCATCCATTTTCTTTCTCCTTGCTACAGGTTTTCTCTGAACACAATCACCCCCAAACACCCACTCTCCTCCTATTTCCCTTTGGCTTCCTCCCTAGCCCTCAAGAGGCTGTTCCATTTTGTTCAAATGATCAACAGGATAATAGATTACTAATAAGCTAAGGAGCACTGAGGTACTTTCCCCCTTTGCCTTCTTATAAAGACAGCCTGTTGAGGCTGGCACTATGGCATACCAAGTAAAGTGGCTGCCTGTGATACCAGCATCCCATATGGGCACTGGTTTGAGTACCAGCTACTCCACTTCCAATCCAGCTCCCTGCTAATGAGCCTGAGAAAGCAGCAGAAGATGGCCCAATTGTTTGGTTTCCTGCACCCACATGGGAGACCTGGAAGATGTTCCTGGCTCCTGGACTCAGACTGGCCCAGCTCCAGTCATTGAAGCCATCTGAAGAGTGAACCAGCAGATGGAAGACCTCTGTCTCTGTCTCTCCCTCTCTGTCTGTGACTCTCTCAAATAAATAAATCTTAAAAAAAAAAAAGAATACATGGAATGATTTTTAAAAAGAGAGGGAGAACATGTTGCCTCTATTTGCTCCTTCTGCTGGCTTTGACAGCATTAGACCAATCAACAATTACACTGAAATAATTTCCGGCAGGCATGTCCTAGAGATGACTGATAGGGACAAGGATGACACTGATGCTCCATGCTTTCAAGCTTCCTATCAGTTTGGATGAACACGCAGAGTTGTAAAAATATTTACTGAACACTTACTGTAAACCAAATACTGTGCTAAAGCTTTGTGTAATAATCTCATTTATTCTTCATTATGTTTTAGTATATTATCGTCTAGTATATTACTCTATGACTTTAACAATACATTCCTCTGGTTTCCGGCAAGATGGCGGAATAGGAAGGGAGCACACTGATAGTCTGGGGAGAGATAGTTTAATAAAAGTGGAGATACTGCAGGTTCAAGGAAGAGTAGGGGAGGAAACAGCAGAAGAAGCTCTTCCGGAACGCGTGACTCACAGCGGACCTGCGTGGAGAGCGTGGGAGCCCACAGTTCGGGACACCAGTGGCAGACTCAACACACCAGCGCTGGAACGCGAGGTGAGCCGAACCTCAATAGCCCGAGACACCGGCAGGCAAGTGGAGAGAGGAGACTAGAGGGAACGACCCCCGGCGGGGGGGAAGTTCTCAAGGCTAACTGGAAGAGAGAGAGAGAGAGAAAAAAAAAAAGGGTGACTAGTACGGACATGGGTTTCTCTCTCTCCGCTCACCTCTCAAGGGCGAGCAAGACAAAGAGCAGGCACCATCTTGGACATACGTCATAAGCAGAGCGACCTCAGGTCTGCACCGGCCCTGAGCCTAGCAGAAAAACCTGACTCTGGGCGGGGCAAATTAACAGGAGATTAGGACCTAGTAAATTTGTGGTGCTACTGAACTGAGACTGTGAAAAAAGAGACGGTGGGGGAGAGAACTCACGGAATTCACGTGAGCACTCTCCAGAGACGCTACAATTCCGTAACTTTGGCAACCCAGTGGGAGGCTGAAGGAGAATTTGAGCCCACTCTGAGGGCCGAACAGATTCCCTGTGGGGTTCTTGGGAAAGAGCTTCCGATCTCTGGCTCCTGTGGGTATATCATTTGCCTGCTAACTACCTCCAACTTCGTTCAGCTGTGCGGAATTACTTCCCTTTTGAATCAAAAAAAAAAAAAAAAGAAAGAGAGAGAGAGAGATTTACCACGCCTAACCTGGGAGTGTCACCTTTGGCACACCAAACAGAGCTCTCAGGCCACACCCATCTCAAGCCCTAAGGCTCCATCAAAAACAGATAGTCCACTTAATCTAGAGTCATAGTATAACAAGAAAAAGCACCACAGTGAAGAAACCAAATATCTCCAATATGCCAAATAACAAACGCAAAAACTGAGGTAATAAAAACAAGGAAGTCACCATGACGCCCTCAAATGAAAAAGACACCCCAATTCAAGATTATGAAGATGATGACATAGAAGAAATGCAAGAAGCAGATCTCAAAAAATTGATAAGAACATTAAGAAGTTCTCAAAAACAAATTCTGGAACTACACAAATCCTTAATGTACAAGATAGAAAATCTCTCTCGTGAAAATGAAATATTAAGGAGGAATCAAAATGAAACGAAACAACTAGTACAACAGGAAACTGGGATAGTGACTGAAGTGAAGAATTCAATAGATCAAATGAAAAACACAATAGAGAGCCTTACAAACAGAATGGGTGAAGCAGAAGAGAGAATATCGGACTTAGAAGACAGAGAACAGGAAAGGATACAGTCAGACCAAAGAAAAGAAGAGGAAATTAGAAATCTAAAACATATTGTCGGGAATCTTCAGGATACTATTAAAAAACCCAACGTTCGGGTTCTAGGAGTTCCTGAAGGCATGGAGAGGGAGAAAGGATTAGAAGGCCTTTTTAGTGAGATATTAGCAGAAAATTTCCCCGGTTTGGAGAAGGACAGAGAAATCCTAGCACAGGAAGCTCACAGAACCCCTAATAAACACGACCAAAAGAGATCCTCACCACGACACGTTGTAATTAAACTCTCCACAGTGAAACATAAAGAAAAGATCCTAAAATGTGCAAGAGAGAAACGTCAGATTACTCTCAGAGGATCTCCAATCAGACTCACAGCTGACTTCTCATCAGAAACTCTACAAGCTAGGAGGGAATGGCAAGATATAGCCCAGGTACTAAGAGAGAAAAACTGCCAGCCCAGAATATTATATCCTGCAAAGCTATCATTTGTGAATGAAGGTGAAATAAAGACTTTTCATTGCAAACAGAAATTGAAAGAATTTGTTGCCACTCGTCCAGCCCTGCAAAAGATGCTTAAAGATGTGTTACACACAGAAACACAGAAACACGGTCATCAATATGAAAGAAGGTAAAGGAAGGAAACCAAGGAAGGAAAGCTCACAGCAAAAGATCACAGGGAATTCAAAGCATATATATTTGGCAAATGGCAGGGCAAAGTTACCACTTATCATTAGTCACTTTGAACATGAATGGCCTGAACTGTCCAGTTAAAAGACACCGATTGGCTGATTGGGTTAAGGAACAAAACCCATCTATTTGCTGCTTACAAGAAACACATCTTTCCAACAAAGATCCATACAGACTGAAAGTGAAAGGCTAGAAAAAGATATACCATGCCAACAGAAATGAAAAAAGAGCGGGCGTAGCCATCTTAATACCGGACAACATAAACTTTACCACAAAAACTGTTAAGAGAGACAAAGAGGGACACTATATCATGATTAAGGGATCAATTCAACAGGAAGATATAACAATTATCAATGTATATGCACCTAACTACAGGGCACCAGTTTATCTAAAAGATTTATTAACGGACTTAAAGGGAGACTTAGACCCCAATACAGTAGTACTGGGGGACTTCAATACTCCACTCTCAGAAATAGACAGATCATCCGGTCAGAAGATCAACAAGGATACAGTAGATTTAAGTGACACTATAGCCCAAATGGATCTAACAGATATCTACAGAACTTTCAATCCTACAGCTAAAGACTTACATTCAGCAGTGCATGGAACCTTTTCTAGGATTGACCACATACTAGGCCATAAAGCAAGTCTCAGCAAATTTAAAAGAATTAGAATCAAACCATGCAGCTTCTCAGGCCACAGTGGAATGAAGTTGGAAATTAGCAACTCAGGAATCCCTAGAGCATATGCAAACACATGGAGATTGAACAACATGCTCCTGAATGAACACTGGGTCATAGAAGAAATCAAAAGAGAAATCAAAAACTTTCTGGAAGTAAATGAGGATAACAGCACAACATACCAAAACTTATGGGACGCAGCAAAAGCAGTGTTAAGAGGAAAGTTTATATCAATAGGTGCCTACATCAAGAAATTGGAAAGGCACCAAATAGATGAGCTTTCAATTCACCTCAAGGATCTAGAAAACCTACAGCAAACCAGACCCAAATCTAGTAGGAGAAGAGAAATAATTAAAAACAGAGAAGAAATAAA